TTTTTTTTTTTTTTTAGGTACAACATCTATTGAATTTAAACTTTATCGGACAAAATTTCAGAAAATAACTGGAAGGTGCAAAGTAATTACAAAGACACGGGAAAGAGTTAAAAACTCGCCCTGAAGATGGTGCTTTTGCTTTAACTGCTCTGCTTGAAGGGATGAGGAACTCATTTTTCAATGACAAGGGTTCCAAACGAGCCGAGTGAGTTGAGCATTGGCCATATCGAGCATGATTGAATTTTTTTAGCTGCTCGCGTCTCAAGTCGTCTAGCTCAACTCGATAAAAAATTACAATAGCTTGAGTTCGGCTCGAGCTCGACTCGAAATGAAAATGCTCAAGCTCGGCTCGAAAAATATTAAGTGGAAAAGTAAAATTACCGTTAAGTACCTATGTTATAATATTGCAATATATATAAGGAGTAATGCTTCCCTACACACGGTGGACACATGTTAATATGTCCACCGCTTATGTGGCATAACACATTGGTGATGTATTTTTTTGAACATATTAACATCACTAATGTGTTCATGCCACATAAGCGGTGGACATATTAACATGTGTCCACCGTGGGTAGGGGAGCATTACACTATATATAAGAGCTATTTAAGTAATTTAACATATATCTCGAGTCGCTCGAGCTCGAGTCGCTCGAGTTCGGTCAAACTCGAGCTCGAGTCGATCGAGCTCGAGTCGCTCGAGTTCGGTCAAACTCGAGCTCGAGTCGATCTTTGACTCGAGCAGGGGCGGAGCTAGGATTTAAACCCGACCAGGGCTAGAATGTACATTAACAAAATATATCTAAGAATCACATATAAATTAAATGTTTTGTAATAATAGTAATTTTAATAAACAAATTTATTTTTTCGATAAATTTATTTATTATTTACATGAAATAAATTGCAGATGTTATTATGATATAAATAGAACAAATCTTACATGTAATGAAATTTATTTTAAATAAAAGTATTAAAGCTTATCTGATAATTAAAATAAAAACTTCTATTCTATTTTTATATTTTGAAGTATAAAACTTTCAAAGAAACATCTTTATACAATATATTAATATTAATTTAAAGTGATTAGTTCAAACATTATTTATGAAATGGGATAGAATGATAATGCATGTTCACTTTATATTCTTAATTATTTGGGAAATAGGCTAAAACATATAAAAAAAAAAAAGAAAATTGGAATGTAATTAAATGGCTAGGTAAATTTCTACCAGGGCTGCAGCCCTGTTATTGTAACACATGGCTCCGCCTCTGGACTCGAGCACTCGATTTGTTTGCAGCCCTATGCAAGACAACGCAAGAGGAGCTACTGCCCAAACAAAAGCCCTCCTTATAGAGCTCTGAACAAACATTCCCCCCTTGCTAGTACTGCAGTGTCCTGATAGGAAACTATCTTTTTTCTTTAATGTCTGTGTGTAATGTAGACTTTTGTGTTTCTTCCTAGTTTGTATGTTGATGATTTAATGGCCAGGTTGGTCGTTTGAGGCGGGAGTTTTAACTCTTTCCTATGTCTTTGTAATCAGTTGGTTACCGGTTTTTGATTTTATAATATACTACTTCTTCCTATTTTTTTTAAATGTCATCCTAGCATTTTTAACTATTTGCTAAATAAATATCATTTCGGATTTTTTGTACATATTTTTCCAATATTACACTCATTTAGTCAATAAATACATTTCGTTTTTTCATATTCAATCTTTACTTTTTCTCAAAACATTCATCTCTATCTTCATTAAATAAGGTTATTATTGACAAAAAAAATATTCTCAATTAGTGTGCAACTTCTCAAAATGACATATATTAAAAATAGGAGGTAGTATCTTGTTTATCGTTGAAAAAAAAAAAAAAAA